TCTCTTTTTTTTTTTTTCCTTCCACCCTCAGAGGATTTTTAGGACAATCTGAGGGTCTCCTTCTTCTCCTAGGGGTCTGACACAGACTCCCCAGAGCCTGCTCCTCCTTGTCAGATCTTTTGGAAGAGATCCATCCTTTGCCCCTATTCAGCTCTCCATCCAGTGCCCTGGGCCCCACGGACAGTCCTGGAAAACACATGTCCCAGTCATAAAGGGGCCCTATCTTCTCATTACCTGGGTAAGGGAAGCGAAACCAAGGAGCCCGGCTCAGGACATCGCCTTTGGTGTCGGTGCGGGCCAGGTGCCCGTAGGCCGTGGGGGCCGTGGGGAGGGTATTGGTGACTGTGAGCACGAAGCAGAGAAGCCACGAGATGCAGAGCGCCAGCAGCACCTGCCAGAGGGAGGGGCTTCACTACCCATCCCAGACCCCCCGGCCCCTGCCAACGCCTCCCAGAGGTGCTGGGCCAGGGAGGCAGGTCAGGGAAGCTCTTTGAAATAAGCAAGTGCTGGGTTACTGGCCCTGGTGGTGACAACTACAATCTGCATCATAATTAGTGCATTAACGGAATGTAGAAAATAAACTCTGGAAAGACCTTGTATCAAACAGAGGCAGAAGTGTCTAGCAAAACAGGCACAGCCTGGGGCGGAAGGATTACCATCTGTCTTCCTTTCCACTGCCTGCTGGTCACATGACCTTGGATCAAACTCCCTGAGCCTCCGTTTCCTCGTCTGTGCGATGGCATTACAATCACTGCTCTGCAGGGCCTGAAGCAAGATTTCTTAGAGCAGGGTCTTCAGATATACTGATATTTCATCCCTGGTGGCAGAACCCCAGAAATGTGTATTTTGAGCGATGTCCCCAACTGATTCTTGCACAGTGAACTGTAGAACCACTGACCTGCAGGGTGGTGAAAGATGGACGAGACGTGGAAGTACCTTTGTACAATTTGAGACGTAGCTCACGGTGCAATTAAACCAGAAAACATACCGTGTGGTTGGTAGCCACACAGAGCTAACCCCGGTGCAAATCCAACAGCGGGGTGTCTGAAGAGGGGGCACCAGCATCGCTGTGAGGGATCTGGCTTGCCTACGGGCCGCTGAGGAGGAACGTGATCTGAGCGACAGAGTCCTTAGTTTTGTGGAGTCGGGCGTGAACCTTGCTGGGAGCACAGCCCCAGGAACGTGAGAAGGCTGTCCCGCACTGGTGCCCAAAGCAGTGGCCTGGGGCAGGGTTCTCTGCTCCTGGGGGAGCAGCTTTGTGGAATGAGGGGACCACATCGCACCAGCAGCCAGGGAGCACTCCCACGGACGGTCGGCGGGCCTCCTTCTACAGAGGATGAATGCAGGTCGGGGGGGAGGAGCCACCACACGAGGAGGAGCATTTGCTTTGGGGACCTTCTGGGAGCGTGAGGGGATGCCCCCCACTCTCCGGGTGAGTCCACTAAGAACGGAAGAGGGTGGGGAGTGCTTCTTACCGGGAAGACCTGAAACAGGTAGAACTTAGACACGCGGCACTTCTTCTGTCCTCTGTAAATGGGCATGGGCACAGCGACATTTTTCAGGTACTGAGAAAACAGCACGATGAGGAAGATGGTCCTGAAACAGAAACATGCCATGCCCAGCCCGGCAAGCTGGGGCTTATCCTCAGCAAGCGTCCAGGAGGCTGAGCCACCGCTGTCTCGGGGACGGGGAGGCAGTGGCCGCACCGGGAGGGTCCCGATCGAGGCCCCTCTTGGCAGCGCGGGCAGCGTCCTGCCATCTCTGAAAAGGTGGGCTGTTCCCTTTCAGAGCCGCCGGTGGCTGGAGAGGAAGAGCGGGGAGGGGGGCTGTGATCCCCTGGGGGTGGGCAGCTGGATGGGTCCAGTGGTTGGAGCCGGTGAGGTGAGAGTCCAAGACTGTCCTCTCTCCTGGGTCGTTCTGCAAGTCCTTGTGGTCAGACTGCAGTGGCAGTGTGTCCGGTGCTGTCCCCAAGTCCCTTCGAAGCTCTGTTGAAACGCTTAAGGCCTCTTTTTCCATAAAGCCTTCCTGACCCTCCCAGTTGGCTTCCACCACCCCCTCCCCTGAACGTGCTTGGCATTCTGCGATTCTCGTCACTGTCTCCCGGTGTCACAGCTCCGTGGGTCCAAGGCTCATCTCTCTCCTACGCCGTAAGCTTACTGAGAGCTGGAGCCACGTCTTTGCACCCTTCTCTTTGCACGGACATTTGCAATAAAACCCAGCAGGCAGAGGACCAGCAGTATCGGTTTTTTTTGTGAACACTAAGTATTCTTCTATGCTGCCTGTGATTACTTCATTGTTTTGAGTACTAAAAATGCAACAAACAGTATTAATAATAAATTGTGGCAGTTTCGCTGCTTTTTAAGGTATCGGAGTATTCATGAAAATATCCGTAAACCACAGGAGTTTGCCAATATCCAGAACACATTCTTCTTGCTGGGTAATCTTCCACCAGAAAGAACTTAGGTGCCACTCCGTTCCCAGAGAGTACTTACATGGCGGCAATGCCCCAGTGGATCCCAGCATTGTTGCCCGCAGAATCAAAGAGAGGCAAGGCCACCAGGGAGATGGTCGGAGCAATGGTCAAGGGGCCAATGTAGCGCATGAGAAACCCAATGAGGCCTGAGAATCCCACCAGCATCTGGACGCAGGAAGCGACCATGATAGCGCCCTGCAACTGAGGAGGGAAAGTACAGTTCATGTGCCTTGAAACTTGCAGAGGCCAGGGCCCACCATGGCAGACCCAGCTGTGGCAGTCCCCTTCCCAACCCGGGCCCCCTGGGTGGCGCACACAGAGGCAGTGCAGCGACAAGGCTGAACCCCAGAGGAACTGAGGCAAGGAGAGCCCTGATCTCGCTCCTCTCTCCACTTCGGGATTTCCCACCACACGTTGGGCATCTTTACTTAATTTGAAAGTTTTCAGGAAATAGCCTTCAAAAGACCTTCACGGTCATAGTGATGATGCTGATGTCTGGGAATCCTAACATCACCCAGTAGTGTGTTGAACATCTTGTTGCTTTATTTTTCTGTTTTCCTACTATCTGTTGCAAGCATTGGCAATTTTTTTTTTTTTTTCTGTAAAGGACCAGATAGTGAATATTTTAGGCTTGATCAGCCATATGGGCTCTGTCGAAACTTCTCCAGACAAGATGTGAACAAATGAGCCTAGCTGTGTTCCAATACGATTTCATGGGTCGATACTGAAATTAGAATTTCATATAATTTGGACACATCATGAAGTAGTATTCTTCTTTTTCAACCATTTAAAATATAAAACCATTCTCAGCTTGTGAGCTATATAAAAACAAGCAGCAGTCGAGATTTGGTTCATGGCCTGAAGTTTGCCAACCCCTACTTTGTAGGACTGATTGAATTTACTTTACTTCTCCTTTTTTACTCTTCCAGTTTGGATGTTCCACATTCCATTTTGGCCCTGATAACTCTCCCTGTTTTGAAGTCTGCTCTTTCTGAAAGTAATAGAATGACTCCTACTTCCTTTTGACTAGTGTTAGGGTGGTATATTTTTCTCCATCCACTTACTTTCAATCTCTGTGCGCCTTTATATTTACAGTAGGTTTCTTACAGACGATATTTAGTTAGGTCACATTTTTTAAAATGTTTTCGTTTATTTTTGAGAGAGAGAGAAAGAGCGTGAGCGGGGGAGGGGCAGAGAGAGAGGGAGACACAGAATCCAAAGCAGGCTCCAGGCTCTGAGCTGTCAGCACAGAGCCTGATGTGGGGCCCGAGCTGTGAGATCATGACCTGAGCTGAAGTCGGACACTCAACTGACGGAGCCACCCAGGCACCCCGTTTTTTAAATGCACTCTGACAATCTCTGTCATTTAATTGGTACATTTAATCCATTGACATTCAAAGTGATTACTGATGTAGTTGGGTGGGTATCTACCCTATTTATTACTGTTTTCTATTTGTTGCCCTTCTTTGTTCCTATTTTTGTCTTCCACTCTGTGTGTGTGTGTGTGTGTGTTTTAGGTTTTGGTTTTTTTTTAGTTTATTTTATTTTGAGAGAAAGGCAGAGACAGAGACAGAGAGACAGTGAGTGGGAGAGGAGCAGGGGGGGCTGGGGGGACAGAATCCCAAGCAGGCTCCATGCTGTCAGCCCAGAGCCCAACGTGGGGCTCAAACTCACAAACCATGAGATGACGACCTGAGCTGAGATCAAGAGTTGGACGCTTAACCAGCTGAGCCACCCAGGCACCCCTCTTTTTGTGCTTTTAATGGAGCATTTTGTCTGACTCTGTTTTTTCTCCTTTCTTAGCCTATCAGTTATACTTCTTTCTTTCTTTCTTTCTTTCTTTCTTTCTTTCTTTCTTTCTTTCAAACTTTTTTGAATGGTCGCCCTCGAGTTTGCAACACACACTTACAACTAATCCAAGTCCGCTTTCAGATAACAAGATGCCAGTTCACGAGCAGGGTGAGCACATTAATAACAAAGTAACCCTAATCCGTCCTTATCATCGCTTGTATCACTGCTGGCACCTATTTCGTTTACATATGGGGACACATCAGTATATAAATAGAAACTACCATGATCCTGGAAGGGGAAGTTTGGATGGGTCTAATGTGTTGAAAACTGAACTTGCCTTCTCTTCCCAGTTATTTTTTTACTTTTTCTGCTACCACCATGTTCTTAAAATAGAACCACTGTTCACTGTTATTTCTCCATTATTTATAGCCCAGCAAGTAATGCCCTTCCTATCGCTGGTACATTTGCACCACTTTCCCTGGTGGCTAGTATTGGGATATACAGCTGGTGTGCTGACCATCAGGGTTTTCAATCCTTGAGACGTGCGTGTAAACCTAACTCAGTTAAACATGGAATATCTACCTTAAATTCCCATAGGCTGGCTGGGTAGATTCAACCAATCCATCCTATTAATGAAACGAGGTTGAAACTTACAAGAACTTTCTCCTGTTTACAGCACTGGTGAAAAACATTGGACCAGCAGATGGAGCTAAACTATCACAGAAAAGGCTCTGGCTTTGGTTTACTGTGTGGGAGCCTTGGAAACCATGTGGGAGAAAATAGTGGAGACTATTGTCTTAGACCAGTCAAAAGGAATCCCTACCCCGGGCCCTGGGCTTTCGAGCAGCTGTTGGCAAACTTCTGTAAAAAGCTAGATGAAAAATAGTTTAGATTTTGGGGGCCATGTGTGGTTTCTCTCACATCCTCTTTTTTAAAACAACCTTTTAAAAATGTAAAAACCATTCTTACTTTGTGAACAGTTAGAAAACCAGACCTCAGGCTGGATTTGGTCCAAGAGCCATAGTTTTCTGATTCCTGCTCTAAGGACTCCATATATCATAAACACAATAAAGGTAGTAAGAAACTATAGGGTCTCTGCCACTTGGGATCCCATGTTCAATGCAGGCACAGCGTGACCCATATCCCTCAACATCTCCCTATTAATACTGTTCAAGCCCCAGGGAAATTATTTTCCAGAACTCTTGCCCAGCATCCTCAAAACACAAGGTCGCTGCTTCTGAATGCGGTAAAGCTTTGTGAGTCGTGCCACTGTAAAGCCAGAGTCAGATACTTCATGAGGACACAGGAAAGATCTGAGCCAGGAGTGCTTAGGTGGGAGAAGAGACAAATGAACTCATCACATCTTTCTTCTTGGAAGGTATAAAGGCAACAGATTCTTGCATAAGCAAGTCCAGTCCTGGGGCGCCTGGGGCGCTCAGTCAGTTGAATGTCCGACTCTTGATTTGGGCTCAGGTCATGATCCCAGGGTCAAAGGATTGAGGCCCACATTGGGCTCTGTACTGAGTGTGGAGCCTGTTTAAGATTCTCTCTCTCACCCCCTGCTTGCTCCCTCTCTCTCTCTCTCTCAAAAAAAAGGGGGGGGGGGATTCCAGCCTGCAATAGGTCTGAGCGAAAGGGAAATCTTGCCCCTGGCATCTAGCAGAGCAGGGTAAGGCAACTCTATTTCTTGTTTTCGCTTAGTTTCCATTTGGACTTAACGAAGCCAAATACAGACTCCCTGGGGGACAGAAGAAACAAACAAACAAACACCCACAAACCACGTGTGTTCTGTGATTCATTCTGTTGGTGGTATCATAAAACTGGGCTTTGCTGAAGAAGCATAGCCTAATTTGGAGAAGGCGGTACAACACACAGCCTTCTGAGATTCGCCAATCCACCTGGCAAAAATCCAGGGCCCCACTAGCTTGACAAGGGAAATTCTTAGGACTATCTTGGTCTAGAGCTATCTAGAACCGTTCTTTAAAGATTAAAGAACCTTGCTAACTCTGGATTCACTCTGAGATAAAAAGGAAACACGAAGACTGGATGAGATTATGGAAGTACACATACTTTTGGCCTGTGTATCAGAGCGTAGGTGTGTGCACAAAAAGCTGCTTTTGCAAGGGAAGAAGAACAACCGAAGGTTCTGGCTGGAACTCGACAAGTGATGGCTCAGACTGATCTGCTGTGCCCTTATAAGCACAGTGCTTGCTGAGCTATCAAAAGTGTTGGTGGGAGAGCCCACACGGAATGAGAACAGACCCTGTTAGAAGCCAGGTGGCCTTAGGTGAGTTTGTGGCCTGAAGCAGCTACTCAACCCCCTCTCCCTTTGACAGACCATCACTAACTAGTCTGCATTGTTTGGAATTAGACCACAAGCAGATGGCACCAAATAGTTTTAAGATCGGAGATTCCCGTCACATCCCGAGTGATGCCCCAAAGGCATCAAGTAAGGAAGGACGGATCCACAAAATCCGCTGATTAAAGGAAATAGTTATAGTCAGGTAAAGAGAAGGCACGTATACAGGGAGCGTTCGTAGGATTCATGAGCAAGTGACAGTCCTCTCCCACGGCCCCCATCGGGACAGACACTACTTCACAAGATAACCTGACTCCAGCAACAAAGACTTGGATTTCACTGTGTGAGTCTTTGAATTCGGAAAGCACTAGTTGGGACCGCGCTAAAGGTACTGCTCACCTAACCGAGAAATGGAGGCTAGAAGCATATAACATTTCAACAGAAGGACATTGGTGGGAGAAGTAAAGCAAGACTAAGTGCGGCCAATGGACCAAGTGACAAGGCTGATTATGCGAACATACGGACCTGGGATTGCCCCCGTATAATTACATAGGGTCTTGGGCTGCGGCCAGTGACTAGCAGTTGGGCTGGCAAGTGGCTCATACAGGGCTCCTTTTATGGCACATGAGTTTAAAGTTAAATCTCAAATATCGGTGGTCCATGGTGATGCCCCTGAGTCTTAAAAAGAGGAGTGAAGTATGAATTTGAATGTAGTCACTAGGGTCCACAAGATGATACCTTGGGCCACAATCCATGCACATGTGGGCTCATGAACAACATAATCCCTCTCTCCATCTGAAGTCACTGAGGTTGCCCAGGATGGTCCCCGTTGCCAATAGCAATGGGCGCATGTGCCTTTGGTGGGAGAATATGAGGGTATATGGCCCATGTCTCAGAGCTGGCAGTCTGCCTGTGCTGGACATTTCACAGAGTATGGGAGGTTTTAGTATTTTTAAAAACTGGCATTGACAGTGTCTCTGGTTTGACCTTTGCCTATTTTGCAACTGAAGCCGTGGACCAGACTACTATAAAAAGTTGCCCACCAACATGAGTGTCAACATATATGTGAAAAAGCTCAAGGACTTCCTGGCCTCCATAACCATAGGAGTCAATTCCTATAATAAATCTCCTCTTACGTGTATCTCTATGTATCCCGCTGGTTCTGTTTCTTTGGTCATCCCTGACTGGCACACATATCTTATGACAGCAACCCCACTCCTAGCTGTATATTCAGTGGAGATATGAATATACATTCACCTAAAAACAAGGACACAAACATTTATAGCAATACTATCTATAACTGGAATACCATCTATAACTATCAATAACTGGAAACTACCCATAAACACAGTCTGGGTAACAGCAGAATACATAAATAAATTGCTGTAGAGTTATATAATGGAACACTACTCAGTAAAGACAGTGAAGAATCTACCGCAACATATAACAATACGGAAGACTCTTGTAAAAATAATGTTGAGGGGGCGCATGGGTGGCTCAGTCAGTTAAGCATCTGACTTGGGCTCAGCTCACGATCTCACAGTTCATGGGTTGGAGACCCGCGTCATGCTCTGTGCCGACAGCTCGGACCCTGGAGCCTTCTTCGGATTCTGTGTCTCCCTCTCTCTGCCCCTCCCCTGCTTGCACTGTCTCTGTTTCACTCAAAAACAAATAAACATTAAAAAAATTTTTTTAATTATGCAATTGAGACATGGACTTTAGGTAAATCATCTATTTAGAAGTAAGTACTGATAGAGAGCTTTATCTTGACTCTCTGTAAATTTGGATATAAATAGTTTGAGCACTACAAATCAACTTGAAACAATTAAATGTATATGTTTCCTAGAAAAAAAATAAATAATAAAAAAAATTTTTTTAATAAAAAAAAATAATGTTGAAGGAAGAAGACAGACACAAACTAATATGTACTGTGTAGTTCCGTATATAACGTTCAAAACCAGGGGAACTAATCTATGGTATTGGAAATCAGGTCAGTGATTATCCCTGAAGGAGGAACAATGGGGCCTCTGGGATGTTGGTAATGTTCTGTTGCCTGATCCAGGTGCTGGTTACACGAGCAAGTTCAGCTTTTGGAAATTTATTGTGTTCTTTTCTATCTGTATTAAACTTAAGTTAAAAGTTCATTTACAAGGGTAGTGGTGCCTGGGTGACTCAGTCGGTTGAGGATCTGACTTCGGTTCGGGTCATGATCTCACAGTTCATGGGTTCGAGCCCCGTGTCGGGCTCTGTGCTGACAGCTCAGAGCCTGGCGCCTGCTTCGGATTCTGTGTCTCCCTTTCTCTCTGCCCCTTCCCGCTCATGCTCTGTCTCTCTCTGTCTCTCAAAAATGAATAAACATTAAAAAAAAAATTAAAAAAAAGAAAAAAGAATAGAGGGGCGTCTGGTTGGCTTTGTCAATTAAGCATCCAACTTTGGCTCAGGTCATGATCTCATAGTTCATGGGTTTGAGCCCCATGTCAGGCTCTGTGCTGACAGCTCGGAGCCTGGAGGCTGCTTTGGATTCTGTGTCTCCCTCTCTCTCCCTGCCCCTCCCTGCTCATACTCTCTCTCTTTCTCTCTCTCAAAAATAAAAAATAAACATTAAAAAACACTTTTTTTAAAAGTCCATTAACGAAGGTACAAGTTCTGACTTTGGAAGGAGGGGAAAAAAAATTGAACTAGAGCAATATTATCAAACACATGGTAGTAGTATACATTTCCCCTTCCACCCCCCCTTAGCCCCTTACCTCTCGGATTCTCTTCTGCCATTCTTCAGTGAATTCAGGAGAGCTGGTGTTCACCAGGCTGGCATTGAGTGTCCACGGTGGGCACTTCCAAGTGGGGAGGGAGAGCATGGCCAGAGAGGGTGCCACAAAAGCAAATGTCCCTCCCTGGAGAATGGGCAGCCTGGAGGAGGGGGAAAAGGATGCAGTTACCCAAAAGATCCATTAGCACTGGTCTGAAACTGGGCCCAATGGGGGATTTTTTAAAATCCCAAGCCCTAGCTTGATTTAGAGGCGATACATGACCTAGCGGGTAAGCTCCACATCAGACCCATGAACCCCGGCAAACTTTGGACAGGTGGGAGAGGTGAGTACGGGGAAGACAAGCAGACCTAACCCCAGTCTTGGAGATGCAAACTAAGGAGGAGAGTCGGGCACTGGGAAATCATTCGCAGACCAGCACAAAGCTCAGCGGCCATGTGCACTGGGTGCCATTGTCCACCCCGGTCTCAGAGAATCTTCCCCAGAGCCCAGGATAAAAGCACAGCTCCCATGCGGAGTTCTCCCTCCAAGAGATGCACAGCCTAAAATCTGGGTCGCCAGACTCCTTGGTGTCTTCCAAAATGATCGGCAATCCCAGACCTTTCCCTCAAGCCTCCTTTTCATCATATGGACAGAACAGTTTTCAGGTCAATTATCAGGGTGCGTTTTTCCATCCAGGCCCTTCTCACTCCTGCCTGGACTCTCACTTCATCCTCTGTGAGAACTTCGGGAGGTGCCCACCTACCTTTCTTCCCTTTGAGGTAAACACAGCCTGGTAAGTCAACCTCCAACAATCCTCTCTTATCAGATCAGAGGCCGCCAAGGCTAACCTAGTCTGCCCACCCATGACACTAAAATTTGGGGTAGGGTGGAACAGAGGCACCCCAGCATCTTGATTGCATTTGTCACTATGATGCACCCACTTTGTCTTAACAATCCCAGAAGGGTATTTTTGAACTCAGGATTTCATAAAGATATCTTAAAGGCTTATTCTCAAGAATGACTGAACACATTCTATGTAATGAAAATGTGAAGTTTATGAGAGTTTTGTTGCCCGAGTGGCCTTTGTATTCTGGCTGAATATTAGAGTCAGTGACACTTGGGCATCACCCTCAGTGGGTGGGCATCACTTTAGCAGGCTCGTCTAGCAGTGCACTCAAGGTGATTCTAATGTGCAGCCGGGGTTGAGGGCAACTGATCTAGATCCATAAATCTAGGCCCACAAAAGGCTCCAAAGTAGAATGGAATACATTGCCCACATAAGGCAGGAATCCACAAGCGGTGTATGGGTATGTGCGAACAATTTTTTTTTTTATTTAAAAACTATGAATCTAAATATCTTGACACAGAAGGGAAGCATGCTCTATTTCTCTTTACAAAATCTCCTTGAGGTTTTAAAACAAACATATAGGGCCGCCTGGGTGGTGCAGTCGGTTAAGTGTCCAACTTCGGCCCCTGATTTTTGGTTCATGGGTTTGGGCCCCACGTCGGGCTCTGTGCTGACAGCTCAGAACCTGGAGCCTCCTTCGGATTCTGTGTCTCCATCTCTTCCTGCCCCTCCCCTGCTCCCTCTCTCTCTCTCTCTCTCAAAAATACAGCCCACCACGTCAGCCATTTCCATTGTGCTGGGCTCCATGAGGGCAGGGATTCATTATTTTTCACTGCCATTCCTCCAGCACTGAGCCTGGCGCCACAAAGAAAACCTACCAACACTGGGTTTATCGTTGTTTTTTTTAAGTTTAATAGGCATGTAAGGAAGTCCTAACAAATGTTAATTTGCATCTCATTAAGCTATGAGCGATGTGCACTCATTCATGTGATTTAATGTCTGTTTTCTCCTTGTCTATAAACTGCCTGCTCATTACATAGAATTTGGATACTGTTAAAATAAATAACAATTCTTATGATCATGAGCTTTCTTTTCATTAAAAAAAAATGCTTTCTGTTACTGTATGCAGGAACTCACCCCCATTCAGAAATTATTTAAGAGAGCATTTCAAAATTTTCAAGTTGTTGAGCACATTTCTAATTCTGTTTGTGTCCATTTCTTTCAAGATGATTACATGTAGTTGGGGTAATATGATATATGGACTTTCTGCCTTTTTTGCATTTGCTAAATATCTTTTATGTTCAAGAACAAGGTGAATTTTTTCCATTTATTTGCTTCAGTGTATTATCATGCTTTATGTTTAGGTTCACACGGTATATCAATAAATTTTTCCCTTATTATTTTATATTTAGACCTTGCAGTTCCATTTTCTATCCCTTCCTGCCGTTGTCCCCACCCCATTTTGTTAGGTAGAACTTCTTTTTTTTTTTTTTTAACGTTCATTTATTTATTTTGAGAGAGTGCATGCACGTGCACAAGGGAAGGGGGGCAGAGAGAGGGAGAGAGAGAATCCCAAGCAGGCTCTGCACTGTCAGAGCAGAGCTGGATGCAGGGCTCGAACTCATGAACCATGAGATCATGACCTGAGATGAAATCAAGAGGCAGTTGCTTAACCTACTGAGACATTAGGAGCCCCTGTTAAGTATAACTTCTTACCAAAAGTACCCTTTTGGTAAATAGATGTGAGCAATAGAAAGAGGGAAACAGAGAAAGATATATTGATCTACATACTCTCCTTTCACTGCTGCTAGTTCTTTTATGCACATCCTGGTACACGCATAGGGTACGTGCACTCAGTACTATCCTAGGCTTTCATTTTTCTATGTATGTTTTACCTTCTACGGTGACCTTGATGCATATCTCAGGGCTCTTTTTTAAAAAAAATATTTTTTTTAACGTTTATTTATTTTTGAGACAGAGAGAGACAGAGCATGAATAGGGGAGGGTCAGAGAGAGAGGGAGACACAGAATCTGAAACAGGCTCCAGGCTCTGAGCTGTCAGCACAGAGCCCGACGCGGGGCTCGAACCCACGGACCGTGAGATCATGACGTGAGCCGAAGTCGGACGTTTAACCGACCGAGCCACCCAGGCGCCCCTCAGTGCTCTTTTAAATTTTATAATTATCTACTACCGCCATGGCGACCCCTATATTTTTAAATCTGCCCACGAGTATGGTTCAGTATTATTCTACATGTGCCTCTGACATCAGTCTCTCTTATAAACTATAGACTATTGATTTGAAACCAACCCAACATTTTAGACCTAGAAGAGTCCCTTGAAATATATCCAGCTTGGCCTTGTCATTATTGTAGATAGGGGATCTGGGCCCAATGTCATAGAGGTAACCAGGACGAGTGCTCGGGTCTCCTCCCTTATCATCTGGGTTTCTCGCTGCTTTTTGACACCGATTGAGAGCAAGGCATCCACGAATGCCAAGTTTAAATCCGGCTCCGCTTCTCATCAGTTCTGTGACCTAGGTATGCTGCCCAACGGCTGCAAGCCTCAGTGTCCTCTTTGATAAAATAATATACTCTCCCCAGGGAGTAGCTGCAAAGATTAAATATGTATAAATGGGTAGCCCCATGCCTGGGGCATAGAAGAGCTCACCGAAGAGCCGTAACTGCCATTACTTTGTTATTCCCTCTGAAATGTGTGGGTACTTCCTGAGAAGGTGGTGTACATTAGGATATTTTCTCTCTTGTTTTCTCTAAATAACAGATGTTCTAGTGTGGGCTTTTTTTTTTTTTTTTTTTTAACTGTTTGGCATTCCCAACTCTTGCAGGTTGGTTCTCTAAGACTTGTTTTCTGCATCCCTTGTTTTCTTTCATATTGTTGGAATCCATGTGTGTGGGCTGGTCCAAGGCTGTGTCTTCGTATTAATTACTCCCTTGCTCTCTCTGGCCAAGTGCTCAGCCCTGCAGGTAGTATGATATCACCTGCTCAGAGCTCCACAGCTTTTGCTTCACTCCCCCTCATTATTCCTCCTGTTCTAGTTCTTAAAGTGGACAGTATTTGTCTACCGTAAGGTTAATGTCTGAGGCACAGCTCTCTTCATGTGATGGCACGACACGTATCAGTTGGGATGGAGCTGCTTTTGTCGGATCCACTAATCGTCTGGAAGCTTACTGCTCTTGTAGTACTGTTGGATTTATTTCAGATGCTACCCTCCCCGCTTCTTTTTATTTCTGTTAGATTTGATTTGAAGGAGGTGCTCTGACAATGCCCCATAAGTTCCGACATGCTATGTCCTCACTCTAGAAGTGACACTTCACCTGGCTCCAAACAGGATTTAAGGGGGCTTATGATTATATTACGCTACAGTAATAAAGGACCTACCACGCTATCCTCAGACCCCCCCAACTTCACTTTCCAGCTGTTTCTCACCCCTTCCCAAGCCCACTTGCCCACACCCAGCCTCATGAACCCTTACAGAAAGAGCCAGTCTGGGCTCAGACGGAGTGGGATCTGGGTGCAAACCTCCACTGCCGCCCTCACGACACCCCATAGAAAAAGTGGTCTGATTCCTCCTGTGCCTCCTACCGCTTCCACCCTTCCCCGTGTCACCTGTGAGCCTGAGAAAGGGAAGACGCCCGGCCGTTTTCTTGACAACAATGACTTGCATGTTTTCTAAGAAGAGGTTAAATGCCAAAGTCTGTAGTCACAGGAATGCATCTTAAGAATCTCATAGGATAAGTATTTTGTAGGAACGTGTCCCCGGGGCGACTCCTAACATCTAAGTTTACACGGAATTTTAAAAAGCACTCGGCATTTTTATCCAGTTATCTCAACAGCCGCCCAGGGCAGTCGGTCCACACTGCTTTGCCTGCACAGGAGGAGGCTGCCTCTGGTGGGCGGTGCCAGTGGGAGTGCCTGGCTCGGATGTGGGGAAGCCGTGATCAGTCAGAAAGGCCGACTCGCCAGGTTGAATTGCAACGGCACGTTTGTCATAAAAACAACTGCTAACAAGACGTGAGGTAAGAACAAACTAGAGTTTATGTTAATGATTAGAGAAAACATTTTTCTCCTGTCTTCATAGTCCCACTCTAACCCACAAAACAGAAACATCTACCCTTTTGGAAGCATTGAGAAGTTAAGGCTCCCCCCGTTCCCTCTGAGCTCTCAGGTACTTCTGTTAAGGAAAAGTTATTCATGACACCAGTTAATGATGTGAAGGTGACTTTATTCCAGGGTGGGACTACAATGGGATTTTGTAGTAGGGGAGAGCATCGGGCTCAACTCTGAATATAACAAG